GACCTCACTGGAAAGAAAGAGTAAAAAAACGCAGGAACCAGGGGAGCGGAAATATGACAGCAAATCAAGATCCCCTACTTCGCGACATGGACAATCCCTTCATCAATACAAAACTCGATCTATCCTCTTTCTTTTTATATATCCCCAAATACGTAGGGGAGCGTCATGGTCATAGTGCGTCACTCGAGGAGGCGGGACCCATGGCAATATCGGAAGAAGAAAAAAAGAAAGGAAAGGAGAGGAGGGGAGAAACTGCGGCTGAACACGGAATATGGCGTTCAATGCTATGGGTTTTATCAACGTGGTCGCGTGGGAGAGAGAGTACCGTGCGGTTGAGTCAATGCGGCGGGAGAGAAGGAGGCGGTGGGCACCATCTTAAAACAGTGGCGGCGCAATCCAATCACTACGGATGATTCGTGGAAAATTCATCTATGGCAGTTGAGTGCGAGCGCAAGTACCGTACCGGTATTAGTGAGAGGGCATTCTCTCCCGGAGGTGCCGGGCGGGGGTGCACAAATTTATGATTGCCAGCTTCCCCGACGGTAGCCGTTTCAATAATTTCCATCTATTACGAGTGATTCCCTGTGAGTACAGGGGTGCGGGGATGAAGCGAGGGGGTGGGGAAGTGAGCGGGGAGAAGAGGGAAGAAGTATACCTCGCAAATACTCCAGCGCCGAGTAGGAAGGAAGGAAGAAAGGGAGGAGGTAAGGGGGGGGAAGTGGCTCACCATCCGAAGACGGTGCCCAATCTCGCCGGTAGAAACTATCCGGGGAGCCGGGAGAGGCGAGGATTTCGATTTGATTTGATTTTCTTCACCAAAAAAAAATTACCAAGGTCCCTTTATTCGGAAGAAGAAAGACCAATGACTTTTTGGGGAAAGCTCCTCTCATCCTTCTTTCTATTCGTCAACGCGACGGGAAATAAAGTGGGGAAAAAGAAAAGAAAAGGGAAAAGAAAAAAAAAAGACCTTTGGGCGAAAGGCTCCAGATTAGGAATTTTCCTTCTTCTCTCTCTCTCTCTCTCCACAGGCATCCGTCCATCCATGGGCCCGGGAATAGTCGAAGGGGGGGATAGGAGGTTGCAAAATTCAATTTAACATAGTTACCCACGGTAGTACCGATATCTTCCTCTGAGTTGTCCTGCCACGGTGGCCCATGCGATGTGACACAAGCACTGGGGGGGAAGAGAAAGAAGGAAAGAAGGGGGAAAAAAAAAAGAGGGAGAGAGATGAGAGAAAAGAGCTAGGTAGACAGTGGACGCAAGAACAGGGGTTCTTCCAGGGAAGTAGTTGATACATTGCATGGCGTTTCCTGAACTGACATTTCTTGGATTGTTTTTAGCGGAAAAATGAAATAATAACACTAGGTTTAAAGTGGGAAATGTAATATCTATTTTGATGGTATTTTTATTTTTTTCCTTTCACATTCTAGGTCCAACACGGGCGAAAACAAAAGTCCAAGCAAACTATCATACCGGTTAAGTTAGTCGGCAGAGTTGAGCTATGGTTGTCCGGTCGTTTATCATACCCATTTTGCTTTGTTTTTGTATGTCCGAGGAGATAGGAGAAGAGAGCATGGAGGGAAACGAAGTATGATACAGTACCCGTACTATACTATACAGTACTATAGATTGGAGCAACCGTAGCGCAACGAACCAATCGACCAAATCAGAACATTCAGAACATCACTTGTTTCCAACGCGTACCGTACTCTCTACTAAATGAACAAAAAAGAAAAAGCGAAAAACGAAAACAAGGAAAAGGAAAAGGGAAAAGAAAGAAAGAAAATGGAAAAAGAAAAACGCACCAAACTCTGTGGTCGTATCGCATTGTTATTTGATAAGTCTGTATCGTCCATAACCCTTATCATCAAACGGGCTTACGATATTATAAAAGCTTAAGTCAGCGCGGCCGAACTCGAAATCGCGGCTACGGGAATTGGGCAGGGTGGGTGCATGCAGCGTACTGTACCGTAGTCTACTAGTAGAACTGTCGAGAGAGCACGTGCCATGAGCGTGGGAAAGGGGTTGAGTATGATGCGGTATCTATCGTACTGATTTTTTTTTTCTTTCTTCTCCTGATGATGATTGGGGTGTTGCTGGAGTGTGGAAGGGTGATGGTACAGTAAATTACTCGAGTACAGTACTTGCTTACTATACTGATGTTAGCACGGTAACCTGTTTATTTTATTCTATCTTATTGTATTTGGGGTGTCGTGGGTATGGCGTGGGGTACTGATGACCTATCACAATGGATCAATCCCTATTATTTCTCCTCTACCATGCTAGATTTGGCGATTGGAGTAGCGTAATGGGTAAAAATAATAACGATTAATTAATTGCATTGTACGAGTACAATAGGGCCTTTGGATTATTTATTATGGTTCTCTGATGGCGGTACGGTAGTAGTAAGTATGATACATCATACCCGAAATAGGGGTTCAATTCAATTCACGGTACCGTACCTTAAAAAAAAATCTCTCGCGATTCGCTTTATTCCCCCCCCCGTCAATCCAGGATAGGTTCGGTTCGACGGATTAATCATGCATTTCGCATACAGGTTAATAGGAACCATAAACACTCCTAATGGCTGAATATTTACCGTGACAGGAAAAGTATTAACCTCTCCCAAGACCTTTTTCTTTTCGTCTTTGATTTTACGGTACTGTACTGTACTGCACTCGTTGTCTTACCGAGTATTTTTTTATTTTTTTTGTCCCACTCTTCCCCTATTATGTCTTTCGTGGTTATTATCAGTACCATGATATAGGACTCGACTCCATCTGCCACCCCGGCATCCCTACCGGCAGCGGTTGTATTATAATAAACGTATTATACATGTACCGCACGCGACGACGACGACGACGACGACGACGACGCTACTATCATCAGCGTACTAAAGTCCGCGGGAAAGGATTTAATTGGAGGTTCGCGTATAATAAAGTTCGGTGACACACTTCTTCTTTTCTTCCCCTTTTTCCTCCTTCTTATTATTATTATTTATAAGCGTAGAGCAGCGGGGGGGAAGAAGAAGCCCGTCGTCCGAACTGCTCACGGTAATCTCCCATCGCTATTATCGTGCCAATTATTATATTATTATTATTATACCCCTCCCCGCCACACCGATGAGATTTTAACCTTTTTCCCCACCCCACCCCACCCCACCCCACCGCAAATTGATACCTTATATATATTCCCATGATACAGTATGGACAGGGGTTATTTCCACTTCTATCCATGATACCTCGGCACAGTACAGTACTCCACTCTGCACCGTATCACAAGTCCAGGATCCGTTTTGTGAAAGCTTACCGTACAGGTACCAGCCAGGGGAAGGGGGAAGGGGGAAGGGGGGAAGAGGGAAAAGAAGGAAGGGAATAAAAAGGGGTGTGCGATTCTTGCTTCCAACCTTATCCAAAGCCTTTTATACGTAGCACCCGTGGCTCCAAGCACGGAGTACTATGATAGTACGGTTATCGAACGGTATGGTACGGTACGGCATTACCGCGCCGGATTCGGATGACCGTTCGTCTGTACTCGTACCTACCTACCTACCTACCAAGTCCGGAAAAGTACGGCGGAACTAGTGGGGAAGTAGCGTACCGTAGCGTATACGAGTGATAATTATTTAGATTGATGGAATAAAGCATGAAGAACCCCCCACCTTCCCGAATCTACTGGTACTAGTGCTAGTAAGTCTTTTCCCAGGGGTTTGGCAGGATGCTTAGCGTACCGCACCGTACCGGTACCGTACCAAGTAAGGGGGTTTCCGGTAACTGTACGGTACCGTATTTAATTAAGGTAAGCGGTAAGTCCATTCGATCCGATTCGATCCAGTCTAGTCTAGTCTTGTCTAGTACGGTCTAGAAAGTCAAGTCCATTGCTGGTCGCTTACGGGATTTACTTACTCAGCTAGATGCTTTACTTACTTACTCGAGTTATCATACTTGCATCCCCTCCACGTACTTGTACTCACAGTACGAGATACACACTTGCTACCCTCGTTTGGTACAGTAGAGCAGAAGGAAAAGGTTGAAAACCCACGAACAGGTAAAAAATAAAAAATAAAAAAAGAATCCCTCCCCCCCCCTCCAAAACCGTGGTTTTTTTTCTTCTCTCTTCCTTCTCCCCCACCACACACACACCCAAACAGAGTTGCCTACGATACAAATACGGTAACTGGCGATCTGCAATCACCGCAAGTCCCTGCAGGCGGATGGATGGGTGGGCTCGCCCCGGATTGGAGGTGGAGGGTGGAGGGTGGAGGGGGGGGGGATGGCAAGCGACAAGGAGAAGCGAGCCAGCGAGCAGAACAGGCAAGCGAAAGGGGATGGTCTGTGCGTTGGTGCTTGGTGTGGTTTGGTGTGGCTGATGGGTTCTTGGTTGTGGCGGTGGACCGGTGAGTGTGGGGGAGGGGGAGTGGGGTTTTGGTGTTTTGGGTGATTATATGTACGGACTGCGCAGTGCGGAACACGCTGCGTCGGTGGGCTGTCGAGTATTGTCATATATTTGGCTTTTTCTATTATAATAATTACGCTTTTGAGGGGATGTAAATGTGGGGTTGTGGGTTGAGGTAGGCTCTTGCTGGCCGGCTGGCTGGCTGGCTGGGTGGCTGGCTGACTTGCTGACTCGCTGACTTGTGTGGGATGGGATAGGATGATCTACGAGTGTCTCTGGCTAGTTGGCAGTGGTACGAGGTACTCGAGTACTCGTAGTGCAGTGCAGTGCGGTGCGGTGCAATGCAGTGCAGTACTGCACAGTTACCTTCTTTTCTTTTTATTCCGTTTTTCTCCTGCTCGTGTATGGTACTGCACAGCGAGCAGCGAGCCAGCTTGCTGGTTAGCTAGCTAGCTGGATGGATTGATGGGTAGATACGGTAGGCGGATGGCCACCCACGCAACTACGATACACCAACGGCCTGCTGTGTTCGTTCATTCATTCGCGAGTGGCTAGGCAGGCAACGACAGGCACAGACGAAACGAGCAGGCGCCAAACAAATCAGTACGATCTCGATAACTTGTTACTTTGTTTCTTCCTGTGTCCAACTCCCTCCATCTCTTCTGCCCCATTCTTGACCAGCTAACCCACTAAACTACCTAACCAATAAAAGCAGATATCCTAACCCTTTTTTTTCTCTTGCGCTGGAACGGAATAGTGAAATGACATTATCCAATGATTTGAAAGGGGCGGAGCGGAGCTTGAAAAACTAAGAGGGAATAGAAGGGGAAGGGAGGAAGGACAGTAAAAAAAAAAGGGGGGGGGGGATGAATGCTAGTTTATGATGATTATGATGATGATGGCGATGATGTAAAGGTGGTAGTGAAAAAAGAAAAAGATAAATAATACAAACTAACATTTTTCCAGTCTTTTTTTTTTTCACCCATTTTCCGCTTGTCTTTTTTTCCCGTTTTCCTTATATTTTTTCTTTTCGCTCAAGGTTGAGTTGGAAAAGAGATGGAGAGATGGATAGAAAGTAAAAGTAAAAGTAAAGGTTGGAAAAGCAAAAACACCCAGATAAAAGAAAATCCGAAAAACACCAAGGCCGACACTGTATAAAGAGGATATGATGGTACTAAGGAATAGGAATAGGTGAGTAGGTGAGGAAGTAGCAAGTAGTGGAAGACAAGACAAAAGAGAAACCATCTTATTAACCCCGTGAAAGCCCAACCCATCCGATGAGAAATAAAGAGAAGAAAGAGGAAATGGAAATAAAAGAATATAAATGGATAGAGCAGAAACCCCGACCAACCCCCCAAAACCGACCAACCCAGCAACCCCCGCGCCCTCCCACAAGAAAAAAAGAAGGAAAAAAAAGTGGCAATTCCCGTATCCAGACCTACCCACCGAGATCCAAGAGAGGGAAAAAGTAAACGTGAAGAAGAAAACTTGAATAAGTATGGGAAAAGAAAAGAAAAAACCCCCGCATCACCGACACAGACAAATGGAAGGGGGTGGGCAGGAAAAAAAAAGGCTAGATAAAGGATCCAGTCTCTAGCTCCCCTAATCGCACTTATCAAGTAAATGACCCAGGGCCGGCTTTCAGCATCCGTCGTCAGATATCTGAGACAGCTCCCGCTTCATTTCGGTCCCGCAAACGCTCGACGTCTGCGAGGGTTGCGGGGTGGGAGGGCCGGCCTGGGGTGAGATCTCCTTCCACTTCTTCTCGCAGGTGACGGCGGGAATCTTCTTTTTGCAGCCGAGCTCTAGCATTTTTTGCGAGATGAGCTCCCACTTTTGCTTCTCGACGTGTTCCTTTGCCTCCTTTAGGAATTGTATCTGTTGCGGTCGTCCTTTCGTCAGCACATGAGCCCACTTTAACTTAGTCCAAGCGCAATGATGAGAGAGAGCATGCTGTATACATACATCTTCAATATCCCAAACCCGCATCTTCTCCTTGAGCCTTTTATAGCGCATTTGCAGCGTAGGAACCCGAAACTCGCCCCGACCCATATCGCGGAATTTCCCGGCTATCGCTTTCCATGGCAGTCCCTCGTCATCCTTGAGTTGTAGCAGGAGGTTGTCATCCTCCGTCATTGTCCAGGCTTCTTTGCTCGTTGACTTTCGTCGCTTTGTTGGGGGCATGGCTTGCGGGGAGGAGACGGGCGTCGGGTCCGGCTGGTAAGGTCGCTTGAATGGGTTTGTCTGGGCGGCTGTGTAGAGGGTTGGGGGTGGTGGTGAGCTGGTTGTCGTGGGTGCTGTGTAGGATGGCGAGGATAGTAGTGGCATCGAGGACAGTGAGAGCGGGTAGTCTAGTGATGGGTGAGACTCGAGCGTTGCATGGTAGCTTAGTGAGTTCTGCGTTTCCCACTATTCAATTAGTCTTCCACATTTCACTACTCCCTTTCCTCTCCCTCCCTCCCTTCCTGCTTCCCCCATCACCATAGGATGGCCGTCATCCCCGTTGCCGAGTCGGTGAAGGATCAAAAGTGGGAAAGAAGGTATCACAAAAACCTACACTATAACATTCTACTGGAAAATGACTCCAATCCTCCTCATCCCCGTACTGATTCATCCTGCCGTACTGCGAGTACTCTCCGAATGACGTCGTCGTCGTTGATGGCGGCGAGTATGCCGAGTAAACTCCTTGGGACGCCACGAGCGGGGACCACGGTAAACACCGCGGAATGACCTCTAATTCCTGAATTTTGAAGATTGTGGAAGAAAACCCCGACTATAATCAATAAGCCCGAAGCTTATTGATGGTTGTGCTGTATTGCGGTATAAGATGGCAGCAATCCAACGGGTTTCCGTTTGAGGGTGCCAAAAAAGGGAGTCTAAACGATTTCCCCTTCGGAGCTGGAACGTGAAGAAAAAGACAAACTTTGTAGTGGTTGTAGCAGTGATAAACCGACGATGGATGACGGATGACGAAGGGGGGGGGGTGTGAAGGAAGGTGGAACCAGGAAGCCTTATGAAGTAGATTGTGGATGTGGTCTTGGAAAAAGGAAAGAAATTATCTCTCTTGAAGACTACCGTACCGTATGTACCGGCGGTATAAGTATCGGGGGGGGGGGGTAGTGGGAGGAGGAGGAGGAGGTAAGTAATAGTGGGGGGAGAGTGTTATTTGCTTTTTGGGACCGCCTGGCTTCTGTTCATTTAAGCTTGGACTTTGTAGTTCAGTGATCGGTGACACCGCATTGAGGAAGGGAGGGGTGTGGAAGTGGAGGATTATATCTTTTAAATAAATCCCATTCTTGCACTGTATAATCTTCGAATTCGGAATAAGTCCCTTTCAACCACACTCAACCGATTTACCACCGTCACTACCCACTCCTCCTCCTCCCCTTTACCTCACCCCCCTTGTAGGGGGATAGGAAAGAGTAAAGGTGAGCCTCCATGCCAGGCGCGACCAGCAGTTTCTGGTCGCGCTCCTGCGCTGTGCGGTTAGAAGGACAGCGACCTAGCAAAAAGCAAAGAAGCAAAAAGTGTAATGTCCCCTTCTTTTCTTATTTCTCCACCGTAATTCGTTTTTTCTTCCCTCCGTCTCTGAGAGAGAAAAAGAAAATAATAAGGAAAAAAAAAATGTCCCTTTTATTTTCTTCTTCCTCTCGAGCTCCTTGCTTTTTCGAAAACCCACTCCTGCCCCGAAGCTGTTCTCTGTTCCTGCAAGTCAAATGCATGCGTGTCTTGTCTTGAAAAATATGTCACCATGGTGAAAGCGTGAACCGGATGAGCGAGTAGAGCAAGTGACTGGGCTTGCACATCACTGCTACCGGTATTGCCACAGTTTTGCTACGGGAGGTATCATACAGTATCATCCGGCAGGGGCAGCAGCAGCGACAGCATCAATCTCTCGTGCTATCATACAATACGATGCGGTACAAGTAGAACCTTTTGCGTACAAGTACTCGAGCGGTATCCAGGCTAGGGGACGGTGCAGGGGCCGCGGCGGCGCAAAACGCCTCCTTTGGGGGAGAGAAATTGAAATTCCTCTTTGAACGAACCGGATGTCTTTCTGTCTGGCTCTCCGTTTGGCAGAGGTGAGCCAGGGGGGGGGGGGGTGATGGCAGGGCGAGGTGAGTGAACGAGTGAATGAGTGAATGAGTGAATGAGTGAATGAATGAACGAACGAATTGCTCCTGTTCCGACTGTTCTGATTCTGATCCCGACTCCGGGCCTGTTCTGTGCTCGTATGGTCCTTTGGTGGATCTGGCCGCCTGCCTGACTGTTGCTGTCCCTGGCGTCTCGCCCGATGCTTGTCCTGGGTGAGGATTATTAACTCGTGATAGGATGAGGCTAGCCGAGTCCATGATGGAGCACTCGTACCGGTGCTGCAAGCAACGCATCTCGGCAGTCTGAACCACGAAGCACCGTTACCACTTTGGGTTCCCTTTAATCTTCCTTCCCTACCCGTCGCCGCAGCACAAAGGACAAGACATTCAATCGTCCTCTACTCGTACAAGTATACTCGAGTACGTGCCGGTATTCGAGCACCTGGCACTCGACACCGGTGTCGGTATCACCGCCCTCTCTCTCTCTCCCTCCGTCTCGTCCCTCTTCCACGTCTCACTCGAAAACAGTGATGAAAATGGCCACCCCTACCCATTTCCCTCCGTCTCCCTCTCCTTCCCTCGCTCCTTCTCACTCTCTTCCATCTGTCCCCCCTGCCCAGCTACCATTCCTCCCTTCTGACTTCCTCCACTTCCCCGATCTCGCTTCCCTCGTTTCCCTGTCAGTTCAATCGTTTTTCTTTTTCTCTCTTCCTCTTTCTTTTCTTTTCTTCTTTTCCCTCGTGTTTTCTTCTTCCTTACCCAGCCCCTCCTGCCTTGCCTTGTCCCCCATTCCCCATTCCCGTTCCCACACCTTCCACGCTTTCCACACCACTCGTTTAACGCTCTCTCGTTTCAAGAACGTACCTACAGGTATCATCATACATACAGTAAACCGTGAAGCGAAGTCTCTAGGAAATGCAGCCAAGACGTAGACATTATCCACTCGCGATACTACAGAATTCGTACCATTTGCACACTGTATTCCGCCTTTTATTCCCCCCCTCCCCCCTTCCCCCACCGCCACCGCCGTCCTCAACCAATGGGTCGCTAAGCGCTAGATGGAAAGATGGTCTAGTCTAGGCACGATCCGGGTTCGGGGAAACGAAGGCGGCGGCAGGAAGGGATTGGCGGCTTATCGCGTATGGGGGG